ATTTGACAAATATATAAATGTTACTTGTGACCTACCGAGTGGAATCTCTGAAATCAGGAGATTACCCATGTTTTTATTCATACAATTGGGAGACGGGGCTGGGGAGAAAAAAACTGGGAAACTCCCGACTGAATCAGGAAAGTTGGCAGGTATGCTATTGACTTGTCTTCATGTGAATATGAGGATTAATCCTCAAATTTACCTAAAAACAAGTCAATAATTGTATGTATGATATTGTTGTTCCAGACTAGATGTTTCACCCAACATGCAGAGGTGGCAAGCACTTTTGGACTGATCATTACTGAAGTATTGCTTTTATGGAGAAAAAAGGCTGTTTGGCCCTATATCTCAATTTAAATCAGAACAAAACCTTCAAAGGAGGTTTGCTTTGTAAAGAATAGTAAAAAATGTCTCCCAAGTTCTACTTGAAATAATGCAATATATCAATTACCACCTCGCTTCAAACCCAAATCTATTTCAATAATTGATGATAAATGTGTTCAGTTTTGTACAATTTCGCTTCAGTTGTCTGGACTCTTTTCATGAATAAAAGGCAAGCTTAGAACTCAGAGAGAGTAGCAAAAGTGCAACAGTCTGCCTGCTTCTTTAAGCCACACGTTACAAAGAATAAAGGTTGTGATATATATAAAGATGTTTTGCCCACTCTGGATTTACTGAATTTTTGCAGGGACAATTTAACATTTAGATAATGCCTTGTCAGGATTTTCCTTCAGAATATGTTCTCAATCTGATGGTCTAGCAGTCTTTCTGGTCATTGGCATTGTATAAGCTAAATATCAGAGAAGGCCATATGAGGATTATATAATTTGTAGAAGCAGTTATTTTACTAATCTTGCCCAACACTACATGTCTCCATGGAGTTACGAGTTCTTGTTTACTGTGTGACATTCACAATACAAATATCTTGGGATCGCTGAATCTTGTAAGACTGCAGATCTATCAGGGATTTTGCATTCTCTTTTGTAGATTTAATTTGATCCCTTTAATCCTTTAGGAATTCTTAACAAAGAAAATTGCAGTTACATGTACCTATGTGTTGATATCGTTAAAACATATACAGATTTTGCATATTCCTGCAGTAGGGGACTTTGAGTACTTTTCCTGTTTTCAGTGTACTGTGGTTAACTTACTGATTATAAAACGCATTGAGCGGTCATTTTTTCTTTTTTGTTGAGACGTAAAAAACATAATCATTGTTCAACTGAAAAAGATGCATTTTCTTTGTGTTCTTAATGGCAGGTCAGCTATTCAATGGAGGTTACATGATTGGTTTTACTGTACTTACATATGTTTTTATCAAAATGTACAAACAATATTCTTGTAACATATATTAATTTAAGATCAAAACGTGCTCAGGCAGTATTGATTTATCATGTCAAATGTCGGACAAGCTGGAGTAAAATCATAAATTTTAGTTGAACTCAAATTGCTTAATTTTACAGAAATATGAATTCATGTTTGCACTTGACTTTATGGATAAATCTTGCTAACAAAATTGACAAAGTAAAATCATAAATTTTAGTTGAACTCAAATTGCAAAGTTAATGAGGAATTGTGTGGATTTGTGGATAGAGAATAAGCCACAGAAATTGTGTGGATAAAGAATTAGCCGCAAAGTTTGAGGAATTGTGTGGATAGAGAATAAGCCACAAAGTTAATGAGAAATTGTGTGGATAAAGAATAAGCCACAAAGTTAATGACTTTTAATGATGTGATAAATCTTAATGCCACAATGTAAATGAGAAATTGTGTGGAACAAAATTGACAAATACCAAAAATCTATTTCAATTTTTATCCATTAATTATTTCCTGGACATAGAAATTGTGTGGATAAAGAATTAGCCACAAAGTTAATGAGAAATTATGTGGATAAAGAATTAGCCACAAAGTTAATGAGAAATTGTGTGGATAAAGAATAAGCCACAAAGTTAATGAGAAATTGTGTGGATAAAGAATAAGCCACAAAGTTAATGAGAAATTGTGTGGATAAAGAATAAGCCACAAAGTTAATGAGAAATTGTGTGGATAAAGAATAAGCCACAAAGTTAATGAGAAATTGTGTGGATAAAGAATAAGCCACAAAGTTAATGAGAAATTGTGTGGATAAAGAATTAGCCACAAAGTTAATGAGGAATTGTGTGGATAAAGAATTAGCCACAAAGTTAATGAGAAATTGTGTGGATAAAGAATTAGCCACAAAGTTAATGAGAAATTGTGTGGATAGAGAATAAGCCACAAAGTTAATGAGAAATTGTGTGGATAAAGAATAAGCCACAAAGTTAATGAGAAATTGTGTGGATAAAGAATTAGCCACAAAGTTAATGAAAACAATATTCCACCAAACTGAAAGGTTTTACAGAACATTTTTTATCATCTGCTTATTTTAGGAGTGTGGAAGGAAGTGGGCACATACAGTTTTATCACTGACCATTTCATGATTTGAATGTCAAAGATAATAAAAGTGAAAAAATACACAAACAAGACTCCAAAAGTATTTGGTATTTGTAATTATGCTGTTTATTCATGAAGTAGGAAAATTCCTGAAGTTTACGCAGGACTTCGCAGATCACAAATACAAAAATTGTTTAAATAAGTGTTGAAGATCGTACAGAATACACATAAGTGAATAGTAACTTTTAACAAAGATTTATAGTTTCTGAATTAAACTGCATCTTACAGCTGATTTGTCAAGACTCATCAATGATGCTAAAGATCTGGATTTTGAAGCATAGGAGGTGACTTATATGGGGAGGTACATAAGTTCCATTATTCAATTAATTTCGTTAATTTTATATATATCTAATAATTTTAGAATGATGTCAAGACACACATGTAACCATGCCATGGCATTAAGGTTAGAACAAACCTCGGGGACCAAAAGTCCATCACCAGTGGCTACCACTTGCAATCTAGAATATTGCACAAATGACACTCCACAGTGTTACCCAATATTATACCTAGTAATAGTTTATTAGAATTCACCGTTTCATTGCTTATATTGATAATACTCTCCAGTTTAAGAACATATTTGGACTATTTATCTTGTGGTTGATACATTTCAGATGCTTCAATGTTAACTGTGCTGGTTTTGCATTGGTTATGTGGGCTGTGACTTCTCTTAAAAATATCCTAATCTGATATGATGAGGTTGAATATAACTATTACATTCTTTTTTGCTGACTTGTCTGATTTCAATCGAATCAGATGTCATTATATCTTGATGTCCTTCATTAAGGTGAATTGTGCTCTGTGTCGATCTGCCATAACATCCATTATGTGGTGCGTGTTGGCTGTTCACAGCTTTTTTGGTAGTCTATGCTTGTGGTAACATTCATTCTCTGGTGTGTGTGTCTGTCCATATCTTTTTATACTCCCCAAAAATTTCGGTATAGTCGCTGCCATGGCCGTCCATCCTTCCGTGACAGTCCCTTCAGTTAAGAAAGGATAATGTTTATACACTGATCATGCTAAAACAACGTGCAGTGTACCAAATTCAGGGCCAACAACCCCTGAATTAGAGAATTATTGCCCTTTATCAAAATATAGTGTCGAGAACACAGCATTAAATTGTTTGCATTTAGAAAGGATCCTGAAACTTGGAGTATATAGTGTCATACTGAGGCCCCAAGATTACAGAGTTATTGTCCTTTGTTAAGGTTTAGTGTCCAGAGCATAACTTTGCATTAATCTTAGGGTAATGAAACTTGGATTATACATTGATCATGCTAAAACGATGTTCAGTGTACCAAATCCAGGGCCCTCAACCCCAAGATTACAGAGTTATTGCCCTTTGTTAAGATTTAATGTCCAGAGCATAACTTTGCATTTATCTTAGGGTAATAAAACTTGGATTATACATTGATCATGATGTGCAGTGTGTCAGTATTAGGTTGGGCCATCCCTTAATTACAGAACTATTGCCTTTTGTTAAATCTTTGTGTCAATGAAAGTATTTTTCAGCAAGCATTCAACAGTTCCGCTGATACTCTTGTTTGCTAGTCTGTGCCTGTTGTAATATCCATTCTCTGTTGTGTATTGGCTGTGTACAACTTTTTTGCAGGTCTGTGTCTGTTTAAAACTTAAAACATCCTTTCTGTTGTGTGTATTGGCTGTTCACAGCTGTTTTGCTGGTCTGTGTTAGTCTGTGGTAATGTCAATTCTCTGTAGTGTGTTGGCTATTAACAGCTGTTTTATGTTAATCTGTGTCAGTCTGTGGTAACATCGATTCTCTGGTATATAATGGCTGTTTATAGCTGTTTTGCTAGTCTGTGTCAGTCTGTGGTAACATCAATTCTCTGGTATGAAATGGCTGTTTATAGCTGTTTTGCTGGTCTTTGTCAGTCTGTGGTAACATCAGTGCTCTGGTATATAATGGCTGTTCATAGCTGTTTGGCTAGTTTGTGGTAACAGTGTTTAATCATCCATTCTATGGTTTGTGTTGGCTGTTTACAGCTGTTTTGCTATTTTTTTTTCTGTTGCAATATCCATTTTCGGGTGTTGTTAAAACCATTAAACATCTTCTCATTAACTAAGAGGTCTATAGAAGCATGATATTTGACTGGTATATATATACCAGGCCTCTTGTTATCAATGATCTGCTCAAGTTTGATTTTAAGTCAGATCTTATACACATAATTAATAGTAGTATATATGTCCACTAATGAATATTTCTAAAACAATGATAAAATAGATTTACATGTAGCAGCACCCAAGGATAGATGACTTCAGTAATTACTTTGATTTAGTACAGTCAGAGATTGTTTTTGCCTCTGGTTCGTAGCCTTCTTTGCAGTCAAGCTTATTGCTGTACTAAAAGAAAGGGAAGTAACTCTTGTAAATCAGAATAAATTTCAGGGTCCTTGGTTCAAAATCAGTTTTGGATTATTTTTACTCTCCATATCTGTTAACAAAGAGTTTTAATTCTTTATTGTTGAAATATGATTTCATTCTATAAGTAGGGTTGATTATTTATGTTGCAGGTGTGCAAGATTGACCCAACATTGGACACAAGATGGAAGAATCTTCAACGACACATTGCCACTGATGGGGTCCACCACAGCGACAACATTTCCTCCAGTGGGACATCTCAAGGTAGGTCGACACTGCTTATCAATTCATTTCAACGGTGCAGACACTTGCTTGTGTGATAGTGAATGCTGACTTGGTTAATGTTATTTTTCTGTAATGTAGTGCAAAAGCTTTTTTCTTCATTACCAATACCTTGGCATAAACATTATTTGCCTTAAAGAAAACATTTGTCACAATGTCACTACATACAGAAATGTTAACATAAATTAAATGTCAACATTAACTGATATGTCAACAATACCAAGAATGTCCATGTTAATATTCGTAAATATTTTCATTATATAACGCCATAAAGTCAACATCTCCCAAATGTCATCATCTTCCCCAAAGTCAACATCTTTCCAAATTTCAGCATCTCCCAAAATGTCACACTATCCTTAATGTCAAAATCCTCCTCAATATCAACATCTTCCCCAATTTCAACATTGCCACCAATGTCAATTTTCCCCCAAAGTCAACATCTTTCCTAATTTCAGCATCTCCCAAAATGTCACACTATCCTTAATGTCAAAATCCTCCTCAATATCAACATCTTCCCCAATTTCAACATTGCCACCAATGTCAATTTTCCCCCAAAATTAACATCCCCCTCAATGTCATTATCTTCTCAAATGTCAGCATCTTCCTCAATGTCAACATCTCCAACGGTGCCAAATTCTCCCCGAATGTCAACATCTCCCCTAGTGTTAAAATATCTCAGGTGTTAACATCTCCTCAAAAGTCAACATCTTCTCCAATGTCAACAACTCTGTAAATGCCAACATCTTCATAAGTTTCAACATCTCATTAATGCCTGAAATCTCCCAGATGTCAACATCTTACCCAATGTCAGCATTTCCCCCAATGTCAACATCTCCCCCAATATCAACATCTCCCACAGTGTCAACATCTTCCCGAGTCAACAACTCCCCAATTGTTAATATGTCCCCAGATATCAACATCTTCCCTAATGTCAACATGTCCCCCTATGTCAACATCTCCCTCAGTCAACATTTCCCCCATATCCTGCAATGTCATCATCTTCCCAGTGTCAATATCATCCCCAATGTCAACATCCTCCCATGTCAATATCTCCCCTACTGTCTATATCTCCCCCATTATTAACATCTTCCTGTGTCAACGTCTGTCTTAGTGTTAAAATCTCTAGCAATGTCAACATCTCCCCCAATCACAACATCTCCCCAAGTGACAATATCTCTCCAAATATCAACATCTCTCCTATTGTCAGCACTTCCAAAATGTCAACATCTCTCACAAAGTCAACATCTCCCCCAATATCTATATTTCTCCCAATGTCAAAATATTCCCCAATGTCAACATCTCCCCCCAGCACCCATATCTCCCCCAAAGTCAACAGCTTCCTGTGTCAACATCTCCCCCAGCACCCATATATCCCACAATGTCAACAGCTTCCCATGTCAACATGTTGAAATGATAAAGTATTCATTACAAACCAACAGTGCCAATATTTGTTGATCTTTCTATTAAACAAAACCTGACAGCTTGTGGCGACATGCAGTTTTGAATCACGTTGCCAGGATAGATGGATAGTCTGGAGAGAGGTTTTGGTCAGAAGGATGACTGATCTTAAATGTCTTTCAGACATAATGTTGAACTCTTAAAAAGGTCTCACGGAGATAAACTGTCTGTTTGTATCATCGTCTCCTGAAGAAGAATTCTGCACTGACTTAGAATAGATGCTGAGATATACATTAGCTTTGATTATAAGTGTCTAAATATCTTGTACTGTCTGTAGCAAAACCTATTTAACCGCAAAAAGAATTGTTTTGCATGGATATCATCTGTTTAGTGCATTCCGTCAAATATGTCTAGGTCTTCGAAAAATGTTAGCTTTGATGAACACAATAGTCTGAAAGGTCCATTTTTGTCTAAGGGATTAAATGGAAGACCTAAATAAAAAAAAACACAGACATGTCAAAAAGAATCTTCATTCAAATTCAAATTTGATGATACCTGGGCAAAATATGAACAAAGGAAAGATTTACATGGATGGAGACTCCTGAAATTTACAACGAGAATATGACCAGTTGTTCCAGAAGGGTAAACATCTTCTGCTTCATTGTAAATTCAAGTTAGTTACCTAGTCGCCTTCAAACTGACCAATATACATTAAGAATCTTCATTCATTAAAATACCTTGATACCTTTTACACATTCAAACTTTGTCAAGTTTGACATTGATGCACGGTGAACTGTTCAATACAAACTACAACTGTACATCAGATATTCATTTGTTTCATTAAGCTTTGCTATTATGACATTTCATGTTTTATTTAAAAAATGCTTTCCCGTATACAAAGTTAATATCTTTGGTTTACAATAATTTCTTTCTAGTCATTATAAGCTTAAACAGGCTTTTAGTCTTGGACTAAGTAGCTGGCTGTATGTACATGTAGGGCTAATTTTAACTGTAATAACACTTTGTTCACATGAGTGACCTTGACTGATTTCCTGTCATGATAATGCTTCAGTTGAGTACCAATTTGTAAGCAGTCTTGATTTCATAAAAGCAAGAAGAACTAGAATAGCAATAGAATGAATCGAGTTCTAATTAATGACCTGGACCTTTGTTTGCAAGTCATCTTCAGAATTCTTATAAAATTTCAGCCTGGATATTGACATTTGACCTACATTCAAAAAAATGTTATAATGGCAAAAATATGAAAACTTTGTTTGTAAAAAATAATTAAGGCATGTTCTGGTATGTGTTCAATTCATATTGAGAAAAGTTGTTACATACATAAATAAAAAGATAATTCTGATAAAATGAAAACATCTTCTAATGAACTGCAGGGCCAAGAGTTTTACCATGCTGTTTGCTGTCAGCTGCAGTGTTTTTATTATTATTCTGAAAATTACAGCTTCAGTTTAAATCTAATGTAAAAATCATGTGTTTTATGTGGGGCTCTATTTCCATGGTTTTCCAAAAAATTACTGGTTTTCCAATAACATACAATTTGTAGATGCTTGATTTCATTGATAAGTAAATCTTTTCTTACTTATTTTAACAATGCATGGATATTTGTGGATTTAGAATACCCACAAAATCCATGAAATGAATCTCTCTTAAAAGTTTAAGATTTAGCAGTAGTGAATACTTACATAATGTTTACATGTCTGAAAACACGACTTATGAGTCCTTATTAAGTAATAACCTGCAAATTTCTGAAAATACGACTTTTGAGTCCATATTCAGTAATAACCTGCAATTTTCTGAAAATACGACGGTTGAATCACTATTATTCTGTAGTATAGCTGTAAGTTTCTGAAAACATTACTTTTGAATCTCAGTGTTCTGTAATAAGTCTTCAAGTTTCTGAAAACACGACTTTTGAATCTCTATATTCTCAAATAATCCTCAAAGGTCTGAAAACTTCTTAATCTCTGCAAGTGTAGACTCATATTGAAGTGTAAGATATTTTCACTTCAGCAAACCAATACTGTAATTGATTGTGTTATTGTCTGCTCTGTCTTAACTACACTCAGATGATTGACAATAACTGGGTCCTTTAGCATATAAACTTGGGATGATTGACAAGTACAGAGACTATGTGGTTTTCCGTCAGCGTTTCAGTTGATTTTTGTGTGTCAGGTTTACACTCTCAATTAATTCTAGTATAGATCTTCAATACAAAAGTGGCAATTGAAGCCAAGATGGGGTCTAGTTGTTTATGGAAACTTATAGGATTAATTTTAATAATTAATCATGTAATTAGGGGTGCAAATTGTTTAGAGCATAAGAGCTAAATCAAATCAATGCTTAGATCTTTAGTTAAGAAGGCTGATTTAGTGAAGCAGAGGAGAGTGTGCTTGCCTTTCTCCAAGGCGATGGCTGCAGGGGGTTTGATTTTGTCAGTGCTGTCTGAATCATGAGGATTTAACTCTGGCTTCATCACATCTAGACACTCTTATGTGTGCACTTCCATCCAAGCCAACATTTAAGAGGGATTAATGTTAGTTAACTTGCTTAACTCTGCAAGTCAAGTACATAGGACCAGCATACAAATTTTGATTCTGGAACAACCTGAGATATGGGTGAACATAGTACTAGACAGTGGCTCATTGTCTTATAAATAGGGTTTAAAAAGTATATATCTGAGATGTTTCTGATCGTCACCACACATAGACCTAGACAAAAAATATTTCATGGGAAGAGTTTCGAAATTTTAAAAGAAAAATATGCTATTTGGCAATACAATAAAAATATCCAATCTCTTATACAGTTAAGAAGGTGATTTGTCACAATTTAAATGAAATGTTGAAATTAAAACACAGAGATAAAGCAGAGAATTGGTAGAGTATTGATTGTTCCTTCGGGTTAGATACATATCACTTTTAACAGGGAGCCCATACAATTAATTGTTCCTGTGTGCAATCTTGAACTATGAATTTACTTATACAGTTGTCTCATAGCCCTAACATAGTGTCATAATATGTAGTAGAGGAGAAAGTCCAACACGGCAAGAACTTCACAAGATTTACACCTAGAGGGACATTGTGCCTCCAACTCCCCCCCCCCCCCCCCACCCCCCAACCCCCTCTAGTGATTATAGTGTCATTATGTGTAGTAAAGGACTAAGTCCAACACGGCAAGAACTTCACCAGATTTACACCTAGAGGGACGTTGTGCCTCCCCCCCCCCCTCTAGTGATTATAGTGTCATTATGTTAAAATGTTGAATTTACTTATTTGTTTTGGCTTTTGAAAAAAAAAAAATTGGATGTCATAGATTTTTCCCATTGTTTAATTGTAAGAAGTATCAAGCTTACTTCTATAACTAGTAGATTTTGCTGGAGTACATCTATTAATTGATTTCTACTCCAAAATATAAGGGGTTCAAAAAACTTAATCTCTTTGATTGTCTTAATTGATATGCAGTTAAAACATTAGAGGTTACTCAACAGATATTGGAGGTCACAGGAGAGCTGCTGACAAGTTTTCAGATTGACTTTTTATTTTGAATATCTTTGACATTACTTTTAC